GGGGGGGGGGGAATGTGCCAATCCACTTCAGCAATTTGGCTCAAGTGTGAACCAGGGTCATTTAAATTGCTTCAAACTGGTTAGCAAACAGGTTTATAACATAGTGGGAATGAAGCCCATAGTGTCACCCCCCATTGACCTCCTCCCACAACACACCATACAGAATCCTTAGTAATGTTTTTGGTACTAATGTTACTCATCCATCATAAATCCTGTATATCACTGAATGTAATGGCAATAACTGTGACATAAACAACTAGCAAAATTAAAATTATATCTTTAAATTACAATATCATATAATTTGTAAGTTTGTATATGTGGTATTTGTTAGTATTAGATGTATGTATGTATGTATAAATAGATAATTAGTAAAATAAATATTCACAACCTAAATGTATTTACATGTAAATTGTTTCATGTGGTTGAAGGGAAAATTTGGTAAGATGTGATGTTTTGAAAGAATATTTTAAAATAATATATTTTTTAAAAAAATTAAAAATTTGAAAACATTATCTTTTTTAAAAAAAATTCTGGGGCCTCTGTTTTCTCTTCCCACTGACCCACAGCCCACTCTCTCCATTTTGTCAGCATCGTGTCAGTATTTTAAAGGGATATGGGTGAACATTATAGCCCATTTCTGCCAAAAGGCAGGCGTGGGTTTTGTTTTGTTTTTTGTCTTATGTGTTTATTACCACTACTTTATATTGTTTCCCTATTATTTCTGTTATTTTCTATATAACTTCAATATATTAATAGGCAGATGTTTTCAGAAACAATGGTGTCATTTCCTGTAGAGTATCATCTGTTGTAGCCCACACCCGCCACATCCCCTAGTGATGCCCCTGGTTTGGAGGAAGTAGTGACATGAATTTAGCATCACAAATTTGATTGAATACAAATAGATACAAAGCCAGATGCTTGTACTTTGGGCCAGATTATCAAAGTTTCATGAATCCAAGTCATTTTGTAGTGCAGGGAAGGAAAAGATATGTGGTTTGTCTAGGTAGGTGAATTGGTCAGTTTCATTTTACACTTTAATTTCTTTCTAAAGCCCTGTTGTTGTTATTGTTGTTGTTGTTGTTGTGTATCTTCAAATTGTACACCAAAGTGGACCTATCATGGGGTTTTCTTGGTAAGATTGGTTCAGAAGGAGTTTGCCTTTGCCTTCCTTTGAGGCTGAGAGAGTGTGATTTGTCCACAGTCACCCAGCATGTTTCCATGGCCAAGTGGGTATTAAAACCCTGATCTTCAGAGTTGTAGCCCAATACTCAAACCTCTTCATTTCGCTGTATCAAATGAAATTCCAACTTAATAGTTAATCCTTTCCCATCATATTTTCCTTATGACATTTTCTCCAAAGAGGCAGAAGTTATCCTGAAAAACACTATGACTATCTCCCACTTAGGAATCTAGAGAAATACACAGTAAGAATGATGCCATGGGGAGTAGGGTGGGGTGTAGAGACAGATTCTCTGACACTTTGGTCAAACCTGACAGTTGTCCACATATGTTTTATTTCAACCATTTTTATTGCTCTAAATTCCAAATTGTTTTACACTTCATTTTACTGGTGCATTTTTCATGAGGAAACCATGATAAAGGATGAGATATAAACATTTTTATAAATGAATAAAGATTGTAACCACAGATCCTGAAGTATCTAGTCATTATTATTATTATTATTATTGTTGGAATGACAGTTGAAAACATCTTGAGATATCAGCTTCCCAGTTAGATCAGGCCTGAATGATGGTGGTGGTGATGGAAATAATGGTGGATTGCTAACTTCAACAGCAATGCCACTTCAATTGGGATTTTTTTCCTTTTTAATAAACTTTTGTCCTTTAAAGGCTCTTTCAATAACACCCTTGCTCTAGCCCATAGAATATTGCAATGCTAGTTTCATCAACTGGTTAGAGATGTTTTCATGAATGGTATTGCTCTTGCTGATGCAGTCATGAGAGGTATTCTTTCTATAGCACTAGACATAAAAGCTGGAAGGACATTGTCAATGATAGAGGGCAAGAACCCAAGCATTTTCTGACTTTAGAGAATTATTTTAAATTACAGTACTGTATTTTGCATTTTATTAAGTTATATCCCAAGCACCAGAGGGGTACAATGAGACACCTTTTCCAGCTCTTCTGTGCATCTAAATAAGCAATTATGCCAATAAAACAAATACTGATTTAATGTCCCATAAAGCATAGAATGGTGACCATTAAAACTAGGCATTATGGACAATTTACAGAATTATCTGAAGATGTACAATAACAAAGACACTGAAAAAATATACATTTACCCTTGAAATGTCACTGTTTTGCAGTTCCTTTTGTTCTACCAAACAATGGCAAACAATGTTCCAGTGACCTCCAGTGGGGACAATTGGAAAATGCATCATTTTTGTTTCCCCAGATGATGTGGAAATGCCTTGTTGTTGTTTTTTGTTGTTGTTTTTCTTTATTGCTATTTGCAATAACATTAATCAATAGAAACTGGGCAAAAAGGGGCACTCTGAAAGTATACTCACACCTGAGCTTTACCTTATATGACACAATTCTAATCCATTAAAGCTAATGGTGTGGTTAATTTCAAACCATTGCTTCCCATAGCAGTGACAAGTACACAAAGGGAATCTGGAAGCCTGTTTCTGCAAGACATTTACATGATGAATATATTATCCTAAGACAGACAATTTCATTGACATGGAGAAACATCTCTCTTGGCTCACCATTTTGGTAATGCTCTAAAAATACAGTGTGCAGTTTGATAGCCTTACAATCTACCTTGCAACTCAAAATGGGAAAGTTGAACAGAAGATAAGAAGTCTGCATGATATCTCAAGCTCTAATCAGGAATTTCAACTATATTACCCTTGCAACTATATGCAGGCATAGAACAATCATATTATTTAAGTCAGGGGTAGGCAACCTAAGGCCCGGGGGCCGGATGCGGCCCCCCTGAGGCCTTTGGACCGGCCTCAGGCTGGTCTTGCTGCTGCCGCCCCCCACCCCTGCCACCCCCCGCCATGATGATATTGATTATTGTTGTTATTACTTGTTCTTGGGGTTTTTCTTGGCAAAATCTCCACAGGGGTTTTGCCATGGCTTTTCTGGGGCTGAGAGACTGAGAATGCATATTTTTTTTTACTTTTAATTTTTTAACATATATATATATATATATATATATATATATATATATATATATATATTGGTGCTTCAGCCCCCCAATTGTCTGAGGGACAGCCACC